AAATAAATTATTTTCACTGCAAAAGAACCGCCAAGCAGCCTAATTTGAAAGTACGAACCCAACATATATAATAATTGGTGATGATCCCATCATAAATAAATCTATTCATGTCATACTTATATCTTGTTTCTTTGATTTGATTTGATTATATATATATATATATATCTATCTATATATATATATATATTTATATATTTATATATCTGTGATAGCTAGCTGAAAAATAATAAATTAAAAAATTGTAGAAAGAGACAAAAGGTAAACATACATATTGAGTATTTGACTACCACATTGCATGCATTCTTATCCTCTCTGCGTTTTTGTTTGTATGTATGTGTGTGTACGTATACACACACATATACATACATATATATATATATTTATGTGGGTGTGTATGTGCCACACACCACAGTTGTACTTCCCTCATAATTACAAAACCTTTCTTGGCCCACCCGACCCGACCGGACCCGACCCCGGCTCGTTTTTAATTTCCATACATAAATAAAATAGTAATTTTGCCGATCCCAAAGCCGTGTCAATCACTCAACTGTAACATGTCAAAGTTAAAACAGATCATCAACTATCTTAACCAACCAACTTAATAAAATTTAATTAATTAATCAAATTACACCCCCCATCAAAACCTTCTTCTCGCTTGCCTGATCTCGATCTTTAAACTAATTAAAACATTAAACTCATACATGGCCATTATTAACCACAACCCATCTACCATACCCTCTTCAAATCATGCTTACAACATGCATATACATATATGTACACACATATGCATACACCCATATGTAGATACACATGTATGTGTATGTTGAAACGAAAGAAGAAGAAGAAGAAGAATTTTTGAAACGAGCACAGAAAATAATTAAGAGAAAGTCAATGAATTGGCTGGGATGACAATGATATAAATTATCATATATAGTTATATATGTAAACACAAAATTCAAAAGAGAATTTTTGAATTTCAAGGCGAATATCACAAGAGAGAAATTAGACTAATAAAGGTTCAGATCCACATAACATTATTGTCTGAATTGCAGACATATATGAACTGATGATTGGAGAATTCGAACTTGTCTAATTCTCATACAAAACAACGTGGAATTAACGTGTAATTACATGCATATATATATATATATGAGATAAACATACATGGGATCATGAACCCTTTTGATCCTCACTCTCTTTCGCTCTCTCTATATATGAATTAATCAATCCCCCATAAACCCAAAAAGAAGAAAAAAATTGTGTATGTAATAGAGAAGGATTACGAGTCATGACCCTCATCATCGTCATCACCCCCACCACCACCACCACCACCATCATCATCATCATCATCATAAACCAAGAAGATCATATACACGGACACCTTCTCTTAGCAACCGAAACGGCGTCGCAGGATCTGAAAAAGCTTTCAAGCTCCTCGTCACGGACGACCTCGAAGAAAAACGAGAGCTTTCGCTTGCAGACGGGGGCTCGCCATTTGGGCTTCCTGGGGGCCGGCGGGCAGACGAGGGCGGCCGGGATCTTGTGCTCGGCGGAGGTGGGTGTGCGGCATCCTTCGTCGTCGGAGATGTTACCGGCGTTGGATTCTTCCAGGGCGGGAGTGCGATGGGATTGAAAATTGGAAGAAGGTAAATTGAGTTTGGGCAAATCTTGGCAGAGCTGGAGATCCGTGGACATGGCTGCTGGCCGTCTGATCTTTTTGTTTTTGTTTTTGTTGGGAGAGAAATTAAGAGAGAGGAGAGGGATGGGGTTGTTGTCTATTTATGTATTTTGCTTGGGGAGAGANNNTAGGGGGGGGTCAAGTATTCTTTATATATATATTCACATATATACATATATATATAGATATAGTGTATACACACACCCATCGAGCTAGCTCTCTAGCATGTGTACATACATACATACATACATACATACATGTATATATACACACAGATCATCTTTGATTTATAAGAAACCTATAAGTGTAACTTAATAGAAATGTTGTTTTTTATTGATAAATTATTAAGATTTTCTCTCTATTATTTTTTAAAATCTATTAATCAATATGATATATTTTCTAAAACGATCTAATTAAAAATTTACTCGCTTATATCAGTAAAAAAATTTACTATTAAAATTTATAAAATTCAACATATACTATAAAATATATAAAATAAATCCCATTTTAATTAAATTAATTTTATGGGTTAAATTTATTATTTTTTATACAGTAATAAACAAAAACAATTATATATATATATTATATACCCATATATAAAAATTCATAAAATTATGATATTGAATAATATATATATATATATACGTGTAATTATATGATTATGGACTGATATAGGAGATAGGTGGGATAAATAAAATGACTTTAGATTTGGAAGTATATGTTATTTTTAGCTTTTCTTTATTTGGATAAAAAACTTTTTCTTGCTTAGCTGTGTGAATTAGGCTTTTAGCTCGGCAGCTATGAGGATCTTTAGTGAAAATCCTTTATTAAGTAATTACGTAATTAAAATCTTAATTACGTAATTAAACACTATAATTATTAACTTTAATTAGTTACTTAGTAAATTAAATTAATTGATTACCCATTTGTTGTTTTTATCAGTTTCAAATTTTAATTCGCACATTATTATATTTCCATACGTCAATCATGCATTCACCTGAAATATTTTTTTTATTTGGAGATAAAAGATTCCTTATTTTTTTTAATAAATAAAAAGATTCCTCATTTAATTTCTCTAATCTTGTTTACCCACTAATTCATGATTAATTAGTTAAAAAATATTTGAACTAATGAAGTTTCATAAATATAATTATTACTAAATCAGTAAGTTAAATTGAGAAAGCTATGGGAAGAAGAAGAAGAGGAGGGAGGGGGTAAAATGGTAATTAATTATTGGTTAGTAAATAATTAAAATAAGAAATCTTTAATGTTAAGTCAGGACACGTGTCAGCTTTTCCTGGCTTTAGTTTCTTGGACAATGATGTCATGTCAGTGAGTAGACACAGAGGATAAAAGCCTTCGGTTGCAATGAGGGGCTTTTTTACTTTTGCCGATGTGGACATGTGGGATTTGTGGAACGTAACTCTTACGTTGTAAACAAAAGCTAACTAGTAACTTTGCGGGCCCCACCTCCCATCTACCCACGCGCTTCCTGTCGCGTGGCTTAAGGCACCGCAGTAACTATTTTTCATATTTTCTTATTTCTTTTTTCCAATCTATGTATTTCATGTCGCATGCCCACCAATATATCTCATAAAATAAATAAAATTACTTAATTATAATTTTCGTTAAGTATTTTTAATTAAATTAATTAATTAATTATAATTGTCCTTAATTATTTTTAATTAGCAATAAAATTTCTCTTATAATTTATGTAGAATTTGGTATGCTAAGCTATAGGTTGCTAGGAAAGGCTCACCTAACTAGATATAAATTGCATTTTATTGCACGTGAATGCTTAATAAATAATAGGCCTATATATTAGGTAAACCTAACTACTTGACATTCTTAGGTAATTTTTTTTTTTAAGTATAAAAAAAATTATATCGAGTTTTATTTCATTGCGATTAGTTCAATTAGAAAAGACTAATCGTTACGTAATATTATTTTGTTCGGTTATGTTATGACCCATTAAAAATATACTTAATTTGATCAACACAATTCGTTATAACTAATAAATAAATTAAACCATTAATTTATCTGAATCAAAGATTATAGATCGAATACAATCAGCTTATGCATCCACAAAATTATAAATTATACGTTCTCAGTAAAATTTAAATTTATAATATTTAAATAAAATTAGAATTTAAACTACTAAATTGATGATGTGTGCTTGTAAGAAGCAAATAATTGTGATATATATTTACATGTATAATTTGCAAAAAAAACTTCTATATATGGTCTCTAGATTTTAATTTCTTTTGTTATAAGATCAAATAATAATTAAAATAATGTGCATATATCAATTTGTTTTTACTTTTAAATAATACACATACACAACTATTACATAAAGATTATATTTCACAAAAAAAAAAAAAACTATTTTATCCTAATAAATCTACATCTGATTTTATTAATAACTTAATAAATATTTCACAATATATATTTCGCTAGTTACTAAAAATAAATAATTAATATTTTACGAGAGTAAAATTCAGTTTGGACCATATTAATATTTTGGATCTATATTTTTTTTAAGATATAGATGAATTTAATATATATATTTATATCTTGTGTGTATATATATATATATATATATTATATGTTATTACATATATATAATAAATGAAATATGTGTGGTACTATGATGTACATATACAGATATTATTATGTACATAGGTATTTAATAACAATGGCATGTATATATATGTTATTCTTTTTATTTTTTTTCCTTGATGTG